TCTCCTCTCGGGACCTTGGGCACGCACGCACACGTGCCCGGCGTGAGTTTTAAACCACTGGGTCCAGGACGCGAACCGTGGTCGACTACATGGGAGTCCAGCGACATAGCCATTACGCCAACTGCTGGTCCCTATTTGTTTTAGTTTGCTAGAGGGTGCATGCGCTCGCCCAGGCTGTGAGAGTGAGAACTCACCCCAAGGGCGATGGCCGTGCTGCAGTCCTTTTGCCTCCATTCTCTAAGGATTCTGGACTCGCAGCCTCGAACCACATAGTTGGCCATGTGGGATTGGCTGCCCTAACCTCCATGCCACCTGCTGGCCTCCACAAATAGCATTTTTGAAGGCCTCATTAATTTTACTCTTTTTTTTTTTTTTTTTTTAAAGGAGTTTTTTTGCAATAGGGGGCATGCACCTCCTTCATTCTCTTCTCAGGATTTTGGGCACGCACACACACGCACCCAGCGTGAGTTTCAAGCAGCCAAGTCTGGGACTCGAACCATGATCAACTGCATGGGAGTCCAGCGACGTTGCTGTTCCACCATCTGTGGGTCTCTGTTGTCACGGAAACTTGAAATTTACACACGATCGGTGAGTGTGGTGTAGCGAAGCCCTTCACACCCAGCACTCTCAGTGTCAGCCGTTCCTGGTTCAGGACTGCCCTTTCATCTACGTCCCCGTCCCGTCCCCGTCCCCGTCCCCGTGGCTCTGCCTCCAGCTGGGTTACGGTCACGCACCACTTAGTTAATGACCGGGAGACATTCTGAGCAGTGTGTCATTAGGCAGTTTCCCTCTTTAAAGAAGTGTTTTACCTAGCTTTATTTATTTATTTATTTTAATCTGAACAGAGAGGGGCAAAGTGACAAGAAAGACCGAGAGAAGGAAAGTGAGAGAGCAAGCCGCCAGGTCCAGGCCTTGAACCGTGGTCGGCCATGTGGGAGTCCAATGCCCTTAACTGCCCCTCCACCCGCTGGCCCCTTAGGCAGTTTTCCTAGTGTATGAACATCATAGAATGCGTACACGGACCTGGGTGGCATGGCCTACGGCACGCCAGCCGTGTCATATAGCCTGTTATAATGCCCCCTTTGCTGTTATTTTTTTCACTTGCCAGAAGGCACGTTGGTTTACTGGAGGGAGGGAGAGGAAGAGGAGGACAGTCCTGTGATGGGGCCTGGTCACCTCGTTTTCCCCTCCTCCGTTTTTCCGTCCTATCTGGATTTTGGGAACACACGCCCAGTGCGTCTCAGTACACCAGGCTGGGATTCAGACTGCGGTCCGCCATGTGGAATCCACCTCCCTTAGTCACTGGGCTGCAGGGCCGGCACAGCAGTTTCTAGATTGGACACATCCTCTTTCCTCCTGTTTCCTATGAGTGGATAGAACTAGAGGCCTGATCAGATTCCAGCCTTTTATTTGATTTTGCATTGTATTTGATTTATTTTTTTAAAAAAGAATTATTGTATTTAATTTTACTCATCATCATTATTGTTATTTTTAATTTTGACCAGAGAGAGATGGAGGGGTGTGGGAGAGTGAGAAAGCAAGCCGCCAGATTTGGGACTTGAACTGTGGCTGACCGTGTGGGAGTCCAGTACCTTAATCCCCATGCCCTGTGCCAGCCCCGCTTTTATTTTACTTACTTAATTAATTAATTTAGAGGTTTTTGTCATAGGACACATGCACTCACTGGAGAGAGACAGAGACGGTGAGAGGGAAAGTGAGAAGTCACCCCCCTTTGAGGGACTGGCCACGCCACCATCCCTTCTCCTCCATTCTCCTCCTGGGGTCTTGGGCACACGCTCGGTGTGATTTTCAAGCCACCAGGTCCAGGACTCGAACCGCAGTCAACCATGTGGGAGTCTAGCGATGTCAGCGTGCTATCTGCAGGCCCCTCGCCTGTTGTTTTTTTTTTTTTTTTTTTTTTTGTGTGTTGTTTCCAGTCTTAGTAACAATATTTTTACCTACTTAGGCAAGAAGCTGGGAACTTTTGACATTTTCCTTCTCTTTACCCCCAACAGCCAATTGATCACCAAGTTCTAACAATGATATATCAAAACCACTCTCAAGGATAGCCTTCCTTGTCACATCTGTTGTTACTATCTTTGTTCATACTTTCACAATCTCTTTCCGGTCAGCTATGTGGGGGTCCAGCGACATAGCCATTACGCCAACTGCTGGCCCCCGCCTGTTGTTTTTTGAGTCTGACTTTGTAGGTGGTGGTGTGTCCCCCCCTCGGAAGTGTTCGATATCCCTTCTCTTCTGTGGTTCTAGTAGCCGTCAGTGCTTAGATCGGTGGCTCTCTTTTTTTGTAATTTTGCTATAAGGGTGCTTATGCTTGCCAGAGAGAGAGGGAGTAAAAGAAACCCCAGAGGGGATGCCCACACCGCAGCACCTTCTCTTCCAGTCTCTTCTTGGGATTTTGGGCACGCGCGTGCAAACACACACACACACACACACACACACACACACACACACGTATGTCTGGAATGATTTCCAAGCTCCTGGGTCTGGACCTTGAACTACTGAGTCGGTCATTTGGGATCCAGCTGCCTAAACCTCCACACCACCCACTGGCCTAGACCTGTGACTTCTCAGAGCTTGCAAATTGGTGAGCATTTTAACCTGTCATTCAGAGAAACATTAAGGGGCTGGCAGGTGGCATGGGGGTTAAAGTGCTGGACTCCCACATGGCCAGCTGAGGTTTGAGTCCTGGACCTGGTGACTTGCTTTCTTACTTTCCCCTTCTCTCGCTCTGTCTCTTTAGTCGAATTTAAAAAATAAATAATAACAAAATTAAAGTAATAATTTAAAAAAAAAAGATTTATTTATTTACTTTCATTCATTTTATTTTGATTTATCCGGTGAGATACAGAGAGAGAGAGAGCGCGTGAGAGAGAGAGGGAGAAAATGAGAAAGCAAGCCACCAGGTCTAGGATTCAAACCATGGTCAGCTATGTGGGAGTGTCCAGCACCTTAATCACCATGCCACCTGCTGGTCCCATAAAGTAATAATTTTTTAAAAAAGAAAAAGAAACATTCACTGGGAAGCATCTCTCCTATCCTGGCCACGGTGTCCCTCCTGGAGGAAGGAGGCAGTCACGCCCCAAAGCTGACCGGTGGGGAAGGAGGCCTGGAAGTCATAGGGGGGGGGGGGAGGGCTCTGAACTAACCCCCAGTGTCCCCCCTTTGTGACAGTCCTGCGAAGAGGAAACCCGAGGAGGAGCTGGAGCGAGCAAAGTCGGATGAGTCGGTTGATGAAGAAGAGAAAGACCAGGTAGGGCCGGTGCTTCCGTTCTCACTTGTGTGTTATGTTAAAGAAGGGAAAGGAAAGAGAGGAAAACCCCGTCTAGTCAGGGTTCTCCAGAGAGCTAGTGCCAACAGGATGAGGGTGTACACACACACACACACAGCAAGACTAAGATGAGTTACTTTATTTTTTTATTTTTTATTTAAAAAAAATTTTTTTTGGAGAGGTTTTTGCTATAAGGCACGTGAGCTCGCCAGAAAGACAGAGAGAGACAGAGAGACAGAAAGCGAGAAATCACCCACCAGGGGATGGCCACACCGCAATCCCTTCTCCTCCGTTCTCTTCTTGGGATATTGGGCACGCACGCACACACGCCCGGCGTGAGTTTAAGCCACTGGGTCTGGGACTCGAATGGCGGTCAGCTACGTGGGAGTCCAGCGACATGGCCATTACGCCAACTGCTGGCTCTATATGCACGTGTCGATAGATCTGCACTTTGGTCACGGGCGTGCGTGTATTCCTATGTGTGGCTCCCCCTCAAACTAGACGCTTTTGTTTATGACCTCCATGTTTCTGTCCTTCTGAAATGGAAGGAATAAACCCCGGCCTTGAGAGGGAGCCTCGTAGACCTCGGGCAGTCATGTATCGGGCCCCCATCGGAGGACAGCGCTGGTGCCCCACACGTTGCTTCCTGGAGCGAATCTCAAACTACCACTTGGTGTTTCTTTTAAAACATTTCCTTTTAGCATGTGTGCGCCTGCCGGAAAGAGAGAGGGAAAGTGAGAAGTCACCTCCCCCCGGGGGTATGGCCACAACTCCAGCCCTCCCCCATTGTCCTATTC